GATGATTTTAAAAAAAGACTTGTGCAATACATTTTGAGGTGAAACTTCAGTGGCTTTTTTTCTGATAAATTAAAGCATTTAACTAACTATTTTATCCTGATTGATTTGTTGAGTATTTGCTAAAGACTAGCTCTTTAAGCTATGACACAATAAATCAAATGACAGTACCTCATTGTTTACTTAGCTTTTGTACTTAACACTTTTCAGGGGAAATAATACTACTGTAAATTGTAAAGAGTCAATACAAAATTGTATGCAGATCTGTGACTATTGACTATGTCATCTTAAAGGAACAGAGAAATAAAGTTTATTTACTATAAAAAAATACTAGTTTATTTACATTGTTTTTCAGATGAGACTCTTCCAATTTCCCTCACCCCCTCCCAATTGTACAACTCATGATTAATCCCCCCTCACATCCTCATACCTCTGCTTCTACCCCCCACATTGTATCTTCATACTCATTCTACAATAATGGTTTTATGCAATGTTTGTCCTTGTGTAACTGAGTTAGTTCACTCAGCATAATGCTTTCCAGTCCCTCCCAAGTTAGGTAATAATTTACAAAATCATTGCTCCTGTGTGCTGCATAGTGTTCCATTGTATGAATGTACCATGTTTTCTCAATCCATTTGATTGTGATTGGACATCTGGTCCATTTCTATGTTTTTGCTGTGGTGAATAATGCTACTATGAACATTAGTGTACAAGTCTCCATTTGTTCCTCAGTTCTCATTTTTTGGGGGTATATTCCAAACAGTAGAATGGCTGGGTCATATGGAATTTCTATGTTCAACTTTTTTGAGGAAGCACCAAACTGCCTTCAAGAATGGTTGTGCCATTTTACAATTCCAACAATACGTAAGAGTTCCTATCTCACCACATCCTCTCTAGTATTTATTACTTGTTGTCATTTTAAACTTTGCCACTATTACCGGAGTGAGATGGTATCTTATAGTTTTGTGGATGAGAGCCGGAAATAGAACATTTCTTATTGAAGCAATTAAAGTCAGATTGTAAGTCAGAATAAATACAAAAGTAAAATATAGAATTCTCATCTTAAAAAAAAATAAAAATCTTAGTTCAGCCTATACTAATTCTAATGGGATTAATGACTGCTGCAATTATTTTACTCATTTGACATAGATTGTTTTATTGACTTCTTCTAATACAAGACAAGAGACCTACTGTTAGTATCACATTAAATATATTAGAAAAGCAAGACTTACAGAAGTAGACTTCTAAGTGCTTAAATGAAACTTAAGCAAGTAAAGTTTGAATTTTGGACAATGACTTTTTTTTTAAATTATAAGTGTCTGGCATACAATATTTCCCTCACACTGCATATGTTCTCTTTTCATTTGTTAAAGCTAACAAATCTACCTTAATTCTATAGACTGTTCTTAGCTGATCAGTTTATTAATAGTTTTGAGTATTCTTAGACTTTGGTGAGAAATATCATATAAATAAGCTTTTATTTTTTTCTACGATAAAATGAAATCAGCTGTAGTAATTTTGTTGTGAATTTATGTCCTAATTGAATTAAAATATTTTACTTCAACAGAAGTGAAATCTAAAGACCTAAGCATAATCATTCTGATGATGAAAAGGATTCACATAATCCACGACAAATATACAGAATTATTACAAAATATACATCGACAAAAGTTAGCAAAATATTTAAAATATATTGGGTTTGACAACTTGGCACACTTGTTATGTCCCCAGGTAAAAGCTATTGAACATACTACATAATATTAATATGTATGTATATGTGTGTTGTGGATTATATTAGCATAAATGTATTAAATTCAAACACTCATTCACTCACTCAGTCACTTGCTGACCTTTTGGTAAGTTTCCAAGGCTGTGTATTTAATGAGAAGAAATTGCTCACTTTTCTTTTTTCAGTTGCTGATGGATTCAAAACACCAGAGAGGAGTGGCCTTAGTTGGTATTCATGTGTGTGTATATGCTTATGTGAAATAATTTATGGGTTGTATTTAGAATAGATGTATTGAATATTTGTAATCAACTAACTTAAATGACAGTTAACCACATATAATTATGAAATGTTACATTGGTTTAGGAGCTCTGGTGACTTAGTGATAAGAAGTGCTGCTAACCCAAAAGCGAACCGTTTGAATCCACCAGCTGTCTTACAGGAGAAAAAGCGGCAATCTTCTCCCATTTCAGAGGTGATTTACTACCTCTGAAAACCCACTAGAGGGTCAGCTATGAGTAGATTTAAACTCAGGTGTACATAAGAACAATAATATTGTTGTGGATTGTACCTAGAATACATTTTTATTTATTCAAGATTAAAGCACATTCAAATATCTTTATAGCAGATTATTTTTGATTATTTATAAAATTTTTCATTTATTAATTCAACAAATACTTATTGAGCATCTGTGGAGTATATTGACTCTTTCAGGTGCTAGACACACTATAGTCTTTTTGCTTGTCTGATTTCTTAAAATTTTCCTTCTAATAGATCTTATAATGGAGCTTAACTTTGAATTGTATACTTCCTCAAAAGACAATGTTATCTAAGTAATGGAATTTTTGAAAAGTTGAAAAGTGTACACTTTCTTTGGGGGTTGGGGAAGAGGAGTAACAGAACTTTGTTTTACTTCACAGTGAGAATTCCCAAGGGTAGATTAGCTTCACTGTGTCTTTTTCATTCATCATTCCCAGCATATTAGACCACATAATTGTCTAATTTGAAATGTTCAATGTTGGTATATTTAAGCTCACTGATACCTAAGATATGGATCTTCAAGTACTCAATTTAATTTTTGACAATTTCAAATTTTCCTTGATTCATACTTTTCTACACATTCTGACAACTAATGAATATTTGCAACTAAGGAAGAATTAAATTGCTTCCTCGAAGTATGTTGTTATTATGTTGCTGTTGTTGTTGAGTATCAAGTTGAAACCAATTGATAGCTAACCCAACCACCCATTCATTGGCAGAGTTGCAAATTGTATAGGAAGAGATGGCCTGCCTTTGGGTTGGCAACCTTAATGATATGAATGTAGTAAATATTTTAGTATATTTCCTCGTTTGCTGATGTGATAGGACTCAAAATGAAAAGTGTACACTTTTGTTACAAATATGTATCTAAGTCTGACTCCTTTCCTGTCTTTACCTACTTGATTTATGAAAAATTTATTAACCCAAACAAGAACTCCTTTTCTGTGTTGGGATAATAAACAGATTTATTAAGGTTAAAATTATTTTTCAAAGATTGATTTTTTTTTCACATCTGACTGCTTACCATCTATCAATCATAATTTTAATAAACTCACTACAGTTTACTGAGTTACTCAATCCCTAAATTTAAAAATATTTTATTCTTTCCCACCTCAAGAATATTTCTTTTGAATCTTGCAAAATGACCTGTTCCTTTGAAGATACATTATTTATATTTCAGTTGTATTGTTTCTGTTTCTATTACCTAATCAGTTCAAATGCTATACAAATAGCAGTATGCCATCCTTTCTAAATTTTGAGTTCTTGTTTGACTGCCTGTTTCCCTCTCTCATCCTTCCTTTTCCTTTATTTACTATTCTTCATTATCCTACAACTCATTTTTTTTAAATATTTTTGATCCATGGTTACTTGAACCCACTGACTAAGAACTGCTGGATATAACTGTACGTGTTTTAGAAATGGAAGGAAGAAAGAAACTGAGAAAGGAGAGAAGGAGAAAGGCTCACCTGAACATGTGACTATTGTTTGCAAATTGTGTATGTGGTCTACAAAACATACATAACACTTCCATAAAATATTATTTCTTAAATTAGAGCTTAAATAGAGAAAATTATTGGCAATGAAAACTATGTGTTTTGGGTAATATTTAAGTGCATGTTTTAGCTGATTTCAGCCACCAATTTTTTAAAAACTTGTTTCATGGTTGATTCTCAACTAGAAAAATGTCAGTGTGTGAATTCTTATTTCCAGTATTTTGCTAATATTATCATATTTTAAAAGTGATCAAATTTTAAGAATGGATGGCCTAACAAATATGCATCCTTCAGAGGACAGTGGGTTTTTTACTTATAGTATGTTTTTGCCAGTGAGAAGTACTCTTTGAGTAAAATACTTTCATTTATTAGATAATGGATACTAATTAAATGGGTCAATATTAGAAATTTCACTTATAAAAGATTTTCTTCTAAGAATGATATGCATTCATAAATTAAAAATTGTAATAATAATAACTATTATTATTTTGGAATTGTTCACACTAACAGCAAGAATACACATCTGTATAATTAAAGATTATTTTTAAATAGCACATTTAAATTGAATGTTATCCAAATTGGATGTTATCCAAATAAGCACATTTTCTAAACATTTTCTTGCAAATGTAATGTCTGTTTATGCGCTGTTTAGGAGAAATAGTGACTGTATTAAATGGAACCAAAATATTTTTCCCTGATTTAATCTGAATTATGTTATAAAGCTTTTAAGATGTAAACATCAAATAATGATCTTGAGATAAACTCTTATATAATTGGTGGTAAAATTTCTTTAGCCACATATAAAATGATAAAATTGTCTAAAATAAAAATATATAATGGTTATTTTAGGTGAAGGAGTCAAGGACTGACAAGGATATCTCTAAATATTCAGTTAACATGGGAGCAGCTCGATTTCAGTTAATGCACATGGGCCCTTACTTATTTCGAGAGGAAAGAAGTGATCCTGATCCCAGGGTGCAGCACTTCATACCAGACACATGGCAGGTATTTATCTATAATATTTGTAACCAGAAGAAGCAAAAAACTTGAAGGAAGCATTTGCTTTGGACTTCATGGTGTGGAACTTAATTATGGAATATAAATTATTTTAGAATTTAACACTGTGACAATAGAAAGTGACTTGCATTTAACTGATTAAGGAACCCAGCAAAGAATCAATTGACATATGTGTATATACACATACACACACACACACAGGATCACTTTGAGATATAATTAACTCAAAGGCACATAATAACACCACCAATATTTATATATGTTGTTGTTATGTGCCATTGAGTCACTTGTGACTCTTAGCTACCCTGTGTACAACAATTCTGAGTTTTGCTCTATCTTGAGGCTACCTAAATGTTTCTGAAATGCCTACCCCATTCCCCAGTCACTGAGTCTATCCATCTCATCCAAGATCTTTCTTTCTTGCACTGTGTCTCTCCACCCTTCCAAGGAAGATGTCCTTCTCCAAGAACTTATCCCTCCTGGCAACATGACCAAAGTATGTCAGACAGAGTTTCAAAATTCTTGCCTCTAAGCAACAGCCTGTCTTCACCTTTTGAAGGATGAAGCTGTTTGCTCTTCTAAGCAGTCAATGGTATATTCAATACTCTTCTCCAGCACAACAACTGAAAAGAACGATGCATAACAAGTAATTGTGAAGGTCATGGCCTAGATCAGATGCACTTTAGTCTGTAGTTTGACATTGTTCCTCTTTAGTACTCTAGAGAGGTCCCTGAAATTTCCCCAATGCATATGTCTTTTAATTTCTGGGCTACTGGTAGCAAGAATGTTGATTGTAGAGCCAAGCCAGCTAAAGCTGTTAACAATCTCAATCTCTACACTTTCTATTGGCCTAGTGGTGAGAATCTTTGTATTTTTGGTGTTGAGCTTCAATCCATAGTGAAGGCTGAAGTCTTGACCTTCTGTAGCAGATGCCTCAGGCCTTCCTCAGTTTCAGTCAGCAAGGCTGTGTCAGCTGCATAATGCAGGTTGTTGATGAGTCTTCCTCCAATCCTGATGTCATATTCCTCCTCAGGGAGCACAGCGTCCTAGATGATCTGTTCTGCCTATAGATTGAAAAGGTATGACAATAGGATGCATCCCCGGCATACACCTTTCCTGATTTTAAACCATACAGTATTTCCTTGCTCTATTCTGACAACTACCTCTGTGTTCAAGTATAAGTTTCAAATAAACACAATCAAATGTTCTGGGATTCTCATTTTTCTCAGATTAGCCATACTTCATTGTGAGCCACACAGTCAAATGCCTTTGTATAGTCAATGAAACACAGATAGTCATTCCTCTAGAACTCTCTGTTTTCAGCCAAGATACATATAACACTGACTATAATATCCTTAGTTGCCACACTTTTCTAAACACAGCCTGAACATCTGAAAGGTCTCTGTTGATGAGTTGCTTAAGTCATATTTGTATAATTTTCAGCAAGATCTTGCTTCTGTGTGAGATTAAGGATATTGTTCAATAATTTACAAACTCTGTCAACTCACTATATTTTGAAGTATGAAAAAAATCGATCTTTTCCAGTCAGTTGGCCAGGTTGTTGTCCTCCAGATTTCTTGGTATAACTTGGTGAGCATGTCCAGGGCAGCATTGTTTGCTTTAAGTATGTCCCTTGGTATGTCATCAATTCCTTGGGCCTTGTTTTTTGCCATTCAGAGCAGCTTGAACTTCCTCCTTCATCACCACAGAACTTTGACCATATGTTGTTTCATGAAATTATTCTATGTCTACAAATTCTTTTTGGTACAGTGACTCTGTATACTCCTTCCATCTTGTTTTAATACTTCCTGGAACATTTAATATTCCAACCAAAACATCCTTAAGTATTGTAACTCAAGGCTTGAATTTGATCTTCAGTTCCTTAAGCATAAGAAATGCCTATCAAATGGGGATATGACAACCTTTTTAACAAACAGTGCTGGCAAAACTGGACTGCTACCTGCTGAAAGCTGAAACAAGAGCCACATCTCACACACTATACACAAAAATCAAGATGTATCAGAGAACTGAGAGTAAAGCCCCAAACCATAAAGTATAAAGTTCATGAGAGAAAAACTGGGATAAAGCTTAGATGGCTTAGTCTATGGTATAAAGAGACTTCCAAATACTGCCAGAAATACACAATCTGAAAACGGGGGG